TATAAATATATATATATACAAACTGTACTCTTCTTGCCTTTGTACATTTGGGCAAGGAGAGAGAATAAATCTTTTTAAGAGACAATCACAAACCTGTGAGGGTGGCTTTTTCTTCCTGCTCCCCTGAATGCTGGTCCTTTGTCCCAAAAAAGCTGGAGCCAGTGATTTTGGGGTGGGTGGTGGGGTAAAGGGATGTCCCATCTCAGAGGGCTTAAGCAGATGTGCTGCTCCCACTGAGCTCCTTGGTGTGTGGCCACCAAGGCTGTGATGAGGTGGCCCAGTGGGGCAGCAGGTCCTGGCCACCAGCACATGCAGCTCCACCCGGGGCCACTGTAGCCACTCTCAGCTGTGACAGTTTGGGTCAGAACCACCCTCTGGGCTTGACCCCTGGGCCACTAGCAAGGGGCAGCTGCCCCCTGGCCTGCCAGCATCCTACCCTACATCAGGCAAGCCCTTCTCCATCACCCCAGGGAGCTCCCTGTGGGGGAGGCAGCTTGGGAACTTGTGTGCCACGGGGCAGAGCTGGGCTCCTCCAGTTCATGGTTGATGTGACCTGTACAGGAGGCAGCACTCAGAATTAAGAGGCAACTTTTAGGTTTTTCAAGAGGGTATTTTTTTTAAGACACTTAGTGGCCTGAGATCTTGATTTGCTTGAGCCAGGGCAGGAGAGTATCTGGTGCTTGTCAGAGGAGATCATACTCACTCCCAGGCTCCCATGATGAGAGCCTTGCACTATACCAGTAAATTCTACCTATGAGGGAGAAGCAAAGTGGTTCCCATCAGAGCAGGGCTGTGTCAGTAGAGGAGCACCATGGGGTGGCAGCAGGGCCCACACTCAGGGAGGCACGTGCCAGCCCGGGGAAGGAGGTGGGGCAGCTCCAGCTTCCAGAAGGGATAAAACTTGGCCTTTCAAAAGCCAGACCTAGAAATTAGCACTGAAGTAGGTAGGGAACAGGTGCAAGGTCTCTTCTTATCACTGCACCACACATGGAGCAAGGCCTGGTGCTGAGATACAGGGGCAGAGATGGTCCCAGCAGCACAGCTCAGCTGTGCAGGATCTTAAACCTGACTTTGGCTTTGATGCCCCACTGAAGAGGGAGTAGAGCCACCAGCCCTGTCATTGGGGGGAAGGACGGAAAAAGAGAGACGAACTTTAAGATGATTTATTCACACAAACTTGTATTCCAGCCCCAACTCCCTGTCCCCAAGAGAAAACGCTGACCATGATGGTGATGGAATGGCTCAGCCTCAGCTGTCGACAGATACTCTCCACAGAACAAGGGGAGCACAACAAAGCATATAAGGACAAGTCCACACACACAGTCAGGGCAGGAAGAGAGCTGAGGACACACCTCTGGGGCACAGCTTATGACTGCACCCTGCTCCTGCTGCCCCCCTAAACCAGCCAGGTCACACCCACAGGGCACAACCTCATTCTCCAGCATCAGCAAGAGCAGGGTTGAAATGTGAGCTGCTGCTGGAGCCCCCAACGCCCTGCTCTGTCCCAGGCCAGGGTGAGCTTCCCACAGCCACCAACAGAGCTGCCACCCCTGCCTGCCCCCCTGCACCACATGCAGCCCCTTTGGTTTGGGTCCAGCCCTCAGCTCGGTGGCTCAAGGCTTGAGACCATCTCTTTGGAAAGGTGAGGAGGAACGGGTGCCTGCTCTGTACCCATCCTCATGAGAGCATGAGGGTTTTTTTTGCTTTTTGGACCATCATAACCAGGTAAGCAGGCAGGTAAGGAAATGTGTGTGTGTCCCCCAAGGGAAGGGGTGTTGCTCCAACATTCTCTTGACCCTCTGACCCTGCACCAGCAGGCCCAGCAGAGGCTCCATGCCTTTCAAATAAGCAACCCCAGTGGAGTGAAGTTCATCTGAATGCCCCTTTTATTGAATGCTGTGATAGTGCAGTGGTAACAATGAACAGAGTTAAGACTGCTTGAAACAAAAGCTGGAAGCACAGAAATTTAAAAAAAAAAGAAAAAAAAAAGTTAGCCCAGATAAAAGTGTCTCAGTCACCCCAAAGCAGCGATGCACGGAGGTTTTAATGTAGTGTTACAGGTAAACTCCACGTGCCACCCAAACCAGGCCTTCTACTTAAGAGTCTGAGTGAAAAGAAAAAGGTAGTTTTGTCAGCTGAGTGCAGGTCAGGACCAACGTGGGATTAGGGAAGTCAAGGAGTTGATTCTGCATCTACTGCTGTGCTCACCTGGCAGGTGTGGGCCCAGGTGCCCCTCCCTAGGCTATCACCCCACAGCCACATCAGGAGCTCCTATGCCAGTTCAGAAACATCTTCCATTTACTATTTGGTGATTACATGTGTGTATATATAGTTCTCTAGGTAACACATTTCAATGAGATAGTCAACTCTGAGGATACACAGGCCAATCTAATAATGAGAAATGCAGTTTCAGTCCAACAGAAGCTTGTTTTCCCTTTCCTCAAGAAAGGAGATGTAACCCTCTCTCCCCTCAACGGCATTTTCAGGTCACACTGGAGTCCCCTGCTGCAGCTATTCTTCATCAGAGGAAGAGTTCTGATCCAGGGGGTACACCATGAACATCACATCTGGCCGTGATGGGACAGAGGGGTGACCAGGCCTCACGATTTCAAAGCCCAAGAAGCTGAATGTCTTCAGGAGTGGAGCTACCAAAGAGAAGGAAATCTGTTACCACCAAGAATCAGCCTCTTTACCTGCATCACCCTAGAAGCCACAAGTACCAAAGTGCATTGACCACCCTCTGTAGACACATCCAGTGCTTCCTGCTCAGAAAGAAACCATTGTATGGTGACAGTCCTCTCAAACAGGAGCTTTTGTCTCTTCCTGCACTCATCTCAGCTGCTCTTAAGCCTGAAGAGGGTTTTAGCTGTGCAGCAGAGCAGGTTCATCCATGCTTTTCCTGCTGTGTCTCTTCTGTCCCCTCTCAGAACCAGTGATGGTTGGTTTTGTCTGCAACCCGCTGACAGACCCAGTTTCTCGGGCTGCACGTGGCCACCTGCAGGATGTCAAGTTTTTACGCTGTACCTGTGGGTCCCTGCACCCTTTGAGCTCTGACAGCAGGTCAGGCAGCAGCAAACAGAAACCTGCTTGCTCAGGAGGTAGGTAGAAATTTGCTGTCTCTGCGAGGGGGCCCTGGAGCTGAGCACAGCACCCCAGGAAAGGCACCACAACTCACACACCACAGTTCAGAGCTGGTCAGGCCAGCAGCCCCATGCTCCTTGTCTCAGTCAGACAAGGATACAGCAGAGAGAGGGACTGATGCACCCTCAGTGAGTTTGGTGACATCACCAGGCTGTGTGGAGTGGTCAACATGCTGGAGGAAAAGGCCAATCAGAGGGACCATGACAGGTGGGAGAGGTGGGCCAATGCCAACCTCATGAAGTTCAACAAGGCCAACTGCAAGGTCCTGCACCTGGGTCAGTGCAATCCCCAGCACAAATAACAGGCTGGGTGGAGAATGGATTGAGAACAGCCCTGAGGAGGACTTGGGGGTGATGGTGGATGAGAAGCTCAACATGAGCTGGCACCATATGCTGGAGCCCAGAAACCATCCCATGCCCTGGGCTGCAGCAAAAGCAGTGTGGGCAGCAGGGCCAGGGAGGGGATTGTCCCCTCTGCTCTGCTCTGGTGAGACCCCACCTGGAGTGTCCAGTTCTGGAGCCCCCAACATAAGGACATGGAGCTGTTGGAGGAACACAAAGATGTTCAGAAGGCTGGAGCAGCTCTGCTCTGGAGACAGGCTGATAGAGCTGGAATTTTTCAGCCTGGAGAAGAGAAGGCTCCAGAGAGACCTTGGAGCACCTTCCAGTGCCTGAAGGGGCTCCAGGAAAGCTGGGGAGGGACTTTGGAGAAGGGCAGGGAGTAAGAGGACAAGAGGTGATGATTTTAAACTGGAAGAGGGGAGATTTATGCTTAGACATTAGGAAAAAGTTATTTAGTGTGAGGGTGGTGAGACACTGAAACAGGTTTCCCAGAGAAGCTGTAGATGCCCTGTATGGACATGGGCTGTATATTTTCATGACAGCTCTGTATTTCAACTGGTTAGATGAGGCTCCAGGAGCTGGAGCACTCCAGAACTTAAATTTTCCAAGTCTAGGAGCAACACAGCCTGTTCTTAAAAACAACAGCCTGTATCAGCTGTCTCCTGTAACCAGCCATTGCAGAGGTCACCTATGCAAGCTGTGGTGGTGGTGGTGACACTATGGCAGTAACTTAATCTAAATATTCTTCTTGTCATTGCAACACAAGAGTGACATTTTCCTGGGCTCAGCACAGCTTAGCTCTAAGAACACACTTCAGAGAAGACAGTGTAGCTGGTGAAGCAGCAGAGTAAAATTAGAATTAAAGCTTGAATTACTCCTGCCACAGCAATTGTGTCGTTACGACCCCATGTCTGGTCAGATTTCAAGTGACACATCCATGGCTTGGTACCTCACCACAAATCTCCTCTGACTTCCGTGCTGTAATCACTCATCCAACAAGTCTATCTTTAGAACCTAATGCAGCTCCATTAAGCCATAAGCATCTCTAGCCAGGGTCAGGATTACCTGTAAAGCTAGGAAGGGCAAAAGTGCTGGGAGGTCTTTTTAAAAAGCAGATGAACATCAGGGCAACAAGCTCCAAGTTCCTTTCCTATGTAATAATGTCTCCCTCTCTTCTCTGTCTAAATCACAAGACTGGTGCCAAGTGGAGACCTTCACCTCCTTACCAAGGGAGAAATATCAACCCATTTTGGTGGACAAGAAAATACTCCCAAGTATTTCAGAAGCAGTTTTCTGATGAGAATACCAGCCATAATTTAATGGCAGGGGGGGGGGAGCTGATGGAGAAACTAAAAGGCTCCATCTCCCTTAGTCTCAAAAAAAGGTTTATTTTCTCCAAGAGAAACTATTTCTACTTTGTAAGAACAACATGAGAATGATGCTTGTTATGTTTACTGCAATAGAAAGTGTATTGTGGATCCCTGCTTTGGGACTTCCAGATTTCTGTACAGCTTCAGCAGCACCATTTTCCATTTAGAGAGCAAACCTGCCAGTGGGGGAGAATTCTCACCTCTGTCTTCTCTGCTTTTTCTGAAGCAAATAAAGACGTAGTTTACTTTCATTTTTTCTTCAGCAAACTCCAACAGTGCTGATAACCTGCCAAGGAGGAGGGAGACAAAAGAACATCAGCTCTAGGAAGTCCTGTCCCAAGGAAGCCTCAGAGCATTATCAACTGTTTGGATGTTTTCAGGCAGAAAGATGCCTTGTTTACAGACCACTTCCAGCGAACAATGGGTGCTGAAACAATGGGCTTCCTGCTTTGCTCTCCAGGCCCCGGAGCCAAGAGCTATCCAAGAGCTATCTGCACCCCAAGCCACCAACAAGTTACTGTCCTCGTGTGCCAGTGTGCAGAAGCCCCCATCCCCACCAGCAAGTGATTTGGTACACTGGGATGCAGGAAGCTTGAAGATCATGGCTGATCCTAAGCCAGGCTACAGCACCTCTGCTGGCAACAGACTTGAGGGGATCTGCAAGTTTTTTGCTTTTGGGGAAGGAAAAAAAGAGCTCACACCAGGCAGAAGAGACAAACACCACTGGAGGAGCATGTGTGCAGGCAAAGCTGTTTCCTGCACCCATCAGCTGGATGGCACAGCTGCTGCACCCTGAATACACACTTCCTGCCTTTCCAGCTAAATTATTTCTGCCACCTCTTGCTGGAAGCAACGCTGGGTTAACCCCTTTCCCAGCCCCGGGGATTGGCACGGTGGAGCCACCACTGCCCCTGCTGGCCTTGGAAGCACTTCGGACACAGGCTGCTAGAGCAGGGACAAACAGGACTCCACCATCTAATTAAACAGCAGTCAGCAAGATGGGAGTGCAGTGAGGGAGATTACATTTGCAAGGGTTTTGTTAATATGGTAATGAACTGTTTTAATTATATCCTCTACCAGGCTGTTTTACCTAGCTAAACATAATCTGACAACATTGCATTTGAACTCATGGTGATGCAGGAGGGTAAACACCCTCCTGAAGAACCCCCTTCCAGGAGAGCAGGCACTTGGACGGGATTTAGAGGCTGACTGAAGAAATGACAGACTTCTGTCTCAAAGAGTGAGAGCAGGAACACTGGCACTTACTGAAGGTGCCCAATAAGGGTTTTTTCCTTAATGAGCTTGTGTCATTTACAGATGAAGCCCGCTTGGAGATTTAGGAGGGCTTCAGAGAGCTCTGCAGAGGAATTCAGTAAAGCCACATCCACGCTGCAGTGCTCCCTGCCAGCAGAGATGTCTGGCAAAGCACTTGGCAGGAAGTAGCTGCTCTGGAAGCTGCGTTTACACAAACTTCCCAGAGCAGAGCTGTCTGGACAAAACACTATCGTATCCTGCCAGCAGAAAAAAATCAGAGCTGCTGGCAGAGCCTGACGCCTGCGTGGCAGCTCTCCAAGAGCAGATCCACCTCCTGATGAGAAGGAGAGCATCAATATAATGGAGGGTTTTTGTTTTTTTTTTTCCCCTGAAAGAGAAGAAAATGCCTGCCAAAATAAGCTTGCCAAGAGGCCAGCAGAACAAAAAGCCGAGAGAAAGGCTTGTAGATTTTCCATACCAAAAAATGCAAAAAATCACTCCACTCATTAAGTGCTTATTTTTCATTAGCACAGCGACTCAAAAACCAGTAACCCATCTGAAACGATCACCAAGGGGGAAGAAAATATATAAGGAGGACTAACAGGAAGGCAGTTATTTGAAGACAAGGAAGTCAGGACATACTCCAGGAACACAAACAGGGAACAGAGCTGCCATGCATTCAGCCCATTCTACCCCCCCACACAGAACATGTAAGCAAAGCCCTGCTCCTTGCTGCACCACAGACACAGCTCTGCCATCCTGAACTTACCCTTCTTTGCTTCCATCAGCTAATAATCCATCAGGGATTTCCACAAAGAGGCTCTGGTTAGAGAGCACTGCATCCCAGGAGGAGGTCTTCACCTCTGTGACCTTGTACTGGAAGTGGACAATATGAGGCTTCCCTTCATGCACTGGGACATCTTGGTTAACAGTGATCTTCTCGTCCTGTGCAGGGGAGGGAAGAGAGCTACTGAAATATGCTTTAGGGTTAAATAAAACTATCCATGAGATTGTAGACCAAAAAAAGTGAAGAGACTATTCTTAAGTGAGCATGGAAATGGACTGTTTACAATTGGCCCCTCCCCGACAAAGGCCCTTCTGGACTGGGGTGCGTGCAGAGTTTTAGCCCCTCACTGCAATGAGCCACCAGGAGATGCCACAGCTGGTGAAGGTACCACAGGTGGCTGCAAGCTCATGTCCCAGTCTCAGCACCCTACACAAGTGTTCAAGAGCTCTTGTTCTGAACTACCTATACTACCTTGCTTTTACTCTAATCTAACGCAAAAATAAAGAACAAAAAAATCCGACATACCAAACAGCCAGTGGAATGAGCAAATGCAGAACATTATAGTTCTACTAAGAACAACATTTTACTTTTCCCTTCCCCTTTCACTGGCCCAGGGACACACCACAATGAGTACTCAGACCTCAGAGTGATTTTCTAGCCATGTTTTCTTGTTCAAGGGAATGTAAGCCCATTCTACCCCCCCACACAGAACATGTAAGCAAAGCCCTGCTCCTTGCTGCACCACAGACACAGCTCTGCCATCCTGAACTTACCCTTCTTTGCTTCCATCAGCTAATAATCCATCAGGGATTTCCACAAAGAGGCTCTGGTTAGAGAGCACTGCATCCCAGGAGGAGGTCTTCACCTCTGTGACCTTGTACTGGAAGTGGACAATATGAGGCTTCCCTTCATGCACTGGGACATCTTGGTTAACAGTGATCTTCTCGTCCTGTGCAGGGGAGGGAAGAGAGCTACTGAAATATGCTTTAGGGTTAAATAAAACTATCCATGAGATTGTAGACCAAAAAAAGTGAAGAGACTATTCTTAAGTGAGCATGGAAATGGACTGTTTACAATTGGCCCCTCCCCGACAAAGGCCCTTCTGGACTGGGGTGCGTGCAGAGTTTTAGCCCCTCACTGCAATGAGCCACCAGGAGATGCCACAGCTGGTGAAGGTACCACAGGTGGCTGCAAGCTCATGTCCCAGTCTCAGCACCCTACACAAGTGTTTAAGAGCTCTTGTTCTGAACTACCTATACTACCTTGCTTTTACTCTAATCTAACGCAAAAATAAAGAACAAAAAAATCCGACATACCAAACAGCCAGTGGAATGAGCAAATGCAGAACATTATAGTTCTACTAAGAACAACATTTTACTTTTCCCTTCCCCTTTCACTGGCCCAGGGACACACCACAATGAGTACTCAGACCTCAGAGTGATTTTCTAGCCATGTTTTCTTGTTCAAGGGAATGTAGTTTTGCATATTTATGTTATATTACATTTCACCCACCACAGGACCCAGCCACAGCTTTGAAGGGCAGTTCACAAACCACCCTTCAAAGAGCACAACTTGAGCTGAGAAGCTGGAAGAGCATCTGCTGCCACAGTCTGACCCATTTCCTTATCTTCCCTGATCCCCAACAGTCTTGTTGTTTAAGGACTAGCCACAAATTGCTTTCCCAGATTTCAGAACTGGTATGGCAAATGGTTTGCCTCCTGGTATAAGGGGAAGAAAATAGATGGTGCAGAGAGAATCCCCAAACAGACAGAAGCTACACAGATTTGAAGACTGTGAGGAGGTCTTTTCCAGAGACCACAAATGTACACATCCCTCTCCCAACAGTAATGCCAAGCATGCAAACTGCCTCAGATGCAGCTCAGCAGTTCCTAGAAAACAATCTTGTGGTTATAACTCCATTCCTTCTCCTGACAGTTTTTGCAGGGTTGGCTTGCCCAGTAATGATTTCCACATTTCACTGCAAAGAGCCCCAGTGAAACAGCTAAGAAATCAATTTGTGAGTTAACATCAACTGCAGCGGAAGCTGAACTACTTTCATCTGCTCAGCGACAGGCTTGTGCACCCTGTTTTCCCCCACATTTACAGTCACCTGCACAGCTCTGAATGGCAGAAGTGAAGCAGATACTAGATGTCATGTCTGCTCTGTTCCCAAGTCATGGGAGCTCCTGAGAAAGCCACATGTCCCTCTCTCCTCAACAGCATCAACAGGAGGTGGTTTACTCTACTGAGTCATTA